TTGCAATATTTTATTCATCAGTGGGACCTACCTCCATGTGAGATTTCTGATGCAATTCTGGTGAACTCTTTCTGGTAGAATGGCCTTTTCCTTTAAAAAAGTATCATGTCAATCGCGCATTAAATATTTACTTCTCCCTATAAGAGTATCTTCAACAGACTCTTTAAATATGATATGCTATCTATTTTAAAAAGTCAACGTTTAAAATCATACTTCAAAAATCTCTTTAAATTAATATTTTAATTTAGAAACTGGGTTTGACTCTTTAAATTTGGAGAGTCGAACTTCTTCTTTATAATTAAATGCATTTAAAGTGTTTCAATTTTTAATGTAGAAAAATAATAAAATAATTTAAAGAACTGCTAGTTAAAATAAAAGATAAAGAAAAATAATAAATATTTCTTTAAAGTTGTAAAATTAAGTGTTAAATATGAAGAGTTTGTTGGAATATTTCAAAATAACTTTAAATTTATATATCATCTCCAAATGATAGAATACGCTATTTAAAAATATAGAGTCTCTTGGAGATGTATTGAGCGAGTAAATAAAACATTTATGAATGTCAAGAACTATACATAAAATGTCAAGAATTTTATGAAATGTATAGGATTTTCATGTTTAGAATAAAATCCAAATGAAATGTCAAGTGTCGAGATAAACATATTCCAAATATCAATAACAACTTTTAAAATGTCGAGAACGTCATGAAATGTGAAAAACAACTATTAAACACAATTTATCAACAAAAAAAAGATTTCAAAGAAAAATTACGTCTATTGAAAATTGTAGAACGACTAATCAACTCTCAAATTTGAATGAGATTAAGGCCTTTTTTGTCTCTTATTATTCCAAAACATTGTTTGTTACAGTAAAATTTTTCACCATACATTCACCCAATAAAATATTCTACACACAAACCCATAANTATTCCAAAACATTGTTGCTACGGTAAGATTTTCCACAACACGTTCACCTAATAAAATATTATACACACAAACTAATAAAGTTATTTTAAATTTCAACCACACATTCTCCAAAAAATACTATTCATTACTCAATTTCTTCTACAATAATGGGAGACAAACACATACTAAATTTCTCAAAATGAAATTATACGATTTTCTTTTTAATTGGAAGTATATAGTTATTTTTTATTGTTAATGATTTTTCTACTTCATCTTCTTCATTTTTTTTCCAAAATCATTGATCAATGCGTAAAATATAATGAGAGCAAATGAATTCATTAATAGCTTGTTTGGTAGAGATTTTTGGGGAAAGAATTGATTTTGAATAGTGATATGATGGGAAATGTGTCGTTGAAAAAGAAGAAAAAATTATTGATGTGATGGAAAATATTATTTTATTGAACAATGTGTGGTTAAAAATGAGAATTGATTTACTGTAGAAAAATTTAATCCCTCCCAAATAGGGTCTAAGTATTAGTTAACATTAATATATCTTCTCATGGAAGTTATTTGTCCTTCTCGAAATTCGTAATAAATTAAAAATATGATTTATTTTTCATTAAGAGTATATAATAGACAGTTTGGTACCAAATTTGATCATTCTTGGAAGAGTTATTAAAATTAGACAATTCTCAATTGACGAGTATGGAATTGAATATTTTTGTAAACTCCCCATTTGCTAATACCTCTAAATCGCACATTCATGTAAATTCCCCATTCCCCATAAACGTCCGAGGCCTTCGAGTCTGTACAATTTACTCCCTAAATATACTCTCATATTTAAATATACTCGTTCTTTCGTCTTCTCCCTAAATTTTACTTTGGTCCCAAACTTTCCATTTTATAGAAATCTTGTCTCCATTCAATTTTTATCCTCCACTCGCTCCCAACCTTCCATTAATTTGCTCAGATGGTCGCTCCTAACGATTTCCATTCAAAAGACTTTTGGGCTCTGAAACAAGAGCCTTGCTTGGTGTATTGGAAGTTGGTGCAAAAAAAAATAAATGAGAGAAAGAAATAAAGAAAGAAAGAAAAAAAGCAACCATACAAGTGCCGCGCAACACCTGTATGGATTCTGGCCATTATTCCCCGGAGAAATAATCCCTAAAACAAAAATCATATTAAAAAGGTTTGTGTTGGAAATAATTAGACTCAAATATAAAGAATTAACACAGTAACAAGTAATAAATCACTTTTATTGTCTCTTGATGATTAAGGTAATTAATTCAATTAACCTGAAGTTTAAACAATCACGTAAATTAATAGATCAAAAGCAATAAAATAAATAACATCAAATATGATCACAAAGAAAAATCTCTTCTCACGATCCAAACTTCTGGACAAACTTTTTAGTAAAACTTAATAGAAAAGTCAACTTATAATTAGTCCAGATATCGCTAAACTTTAGCTAACTTTGACCACCTAACTTGTAAATCATCAAAAAACTCTTCGATTGTGCGACCCGCACTTCCTTGCAATTTTGGGCTACTTTTCACTCTGCGTGGATCACCAAGAACAACTCGTTTTGGAGTGCTCGAACTCTAAGCGCCCCTTTTCCAAACTTTAAAATTTTGAAGGCTTATAGGTGAAGGTCGAGTTTTTGGTGTTTTATCCAATTTCTTTTGTGTTTTGATCTGTGAATGAAGCAAGAGAATATTGAAATATGAATTTGACCTTCAAAGGATGTTCTTTTAACTAAAATTAAAACTTAAGGCTCAACCAATAATGAAACAATGTTTGGGATGAATTATGAATAATTGATCAAGTGGTTGAATCTAGAGATTTTTGAAATGATTTTGGATTTTCACTAATATGATCCCTAAAATGAAATAATATTCAATACATTTTGGGACGGACCTATGGTTGTAAATTTATAATTTGTAGTGTTTGGTGTGAAATATGATTGAAAAATACTATTAAAATTGAATTATGATTCTGCCAGAATATATACGTTGCTCGAGCGCTGCTCCTGACGCCTAGCGAGCGGTGACTCCGCCGCTCCAGCACCAACCTTGCTCCTAGCAAGCGGCGATGCTCCTGTTTGAGTGCTCGAACGCCATCTGGAGCTCAGTGAGCGATTGTTTTTTCCGTTTCTCGATCTTCTTAAATTGTCTTCAATTACTTTTAGGACTCTACCAAACACAATCTATTTTGACTTAAATAACAACTCAATAAGTCATGATTTTGAATACAAAAATTGTCAATTACAAATTTAGAAAAATGGGAATCAAACAAGGTCTTTATACAAATGTAGACAGTGGGTAGACATGTGAGAGCTATGAATAAGTATGTCGTGAGAAAATACCAATGCATACATCCTCAACTGATTTTTGAAGATTGTTTTCATCAAGGTTTGAAATATTTCTAAAGCATTTGTGAGTCCAAAGGGCACGACCTTAAAACTCATATAAACCTTGGTGTATCTTAAAGGCTATTTTGTGAAATCTTTTGGAGCCACCAATATCTGATGATAACCAGCCATCAAGTCTATTTTGGAAAAATAATTGGACCCATGTAGCTCAAATTAGAGACATAGGAAACTTATCTTTAACTGTCAATTTATTGAGCTGCCTGTTATCGACACAAAATCTTCAAGTGCCATATTTCTTTTTGACTAATAGTGCTGCTATGTTGAATTATGCTACAGGACAACATCTCATGCACCATATTTTCTACCTTTGTCTTTTGTGTATAAGGGCATCTTTTGAAATGCTTTGCTCCTTTAAGGGGTATGTGGTGTTCATGACATTTGGAGGGAGGTAAGCCCTTGGTTCTTCAAATACATCCTTACATGCATCTATTACAGCTGTAATTTCTGAACGCGTTTTGCCCCCCTTCTTCCTCAGGAATAGCATGTACAGACGCCATAATTCCATAATCTTGCTTTTCGTGCTTGTTGTCCTCATTTTTGTAGGGGTGAACTGGCCAACATATGTCGGGCTCTGACGTCACGTAAGCCTTTAATCCTGCACACTTGGACAAATCATAAGTCACACGGATCGAGGAGGATATGAAGTGAATATATTGAGAGCGAACATATGGCTTTGAGAGTCTAAAGTTGCATTACCTTCGAATGGCATGATGTGTGAGTTTTTATAGTAGGAGAAAAGCAATGACAACAGTTTGATGAGGTGACATATAGCCTTATCATGATGGTCGAGGTTTTTTCCTAGGTATCACTCCATCCAACGCGCAGCCACTCTAAAGCTTAGTCTAACCTCTGAAATATAGAGTGAATTGCTTGTAGGTTGACGTCCACTATATAGAGCAAATGTGGTCGCAAGCAATTCACTCTATTTTTAATGTTGCATCCACAAATCTTGAACTTTTTATATAAGTTTGCAAGCATTGATGTTAACCCCCNAAAGATTTATATTATAAAGTAACAAAACTAACAAGAGTTCAAACAATCAGTTAAATACTATCCGTCATCATTCAACGCATTCACATTGTTGCTTTTAAAATACTTATCACTATCCCCTGCTTGACTTTGCGTTAATGCAATTTCATTTCATTTCTTTTTTCTCTTTAGAGCTCTTTCTTTTTTCTCTTTAGAGCTCCAGACTCATACTTAGGGGGCGTGGTGCATGAGTCTATATCTAATGCTCAATGATTAGCCTAAAAGATAATTACAAATTATCTCAATAATCTCACAATTAAAGTTTTCAATATAGTTACGTGCGCCTGTGCAATTGATCTTATAAAATAACCAATCATATAAGCCGACCATGCCACAATTATATAAGTCGACAAGACTTCAAACATTTCAAATATATTCAATAACAAGTTAGAGCAAGCCATTACTTCCTAGAGAAGTAGAATTTCGACGAAAATTATGGAATTACAATTCCCACTCCACCGTCACATCTCACAGGCCAAAAATAAAAATTTAACATTAACCACCAATACAAATATGAAATTTTATTGCATTAATCTATTCCGTATGAGTGGAAGAGGTGGGGGTGCCACAAAAATTGCAGACAAGAAGCATCAAATAGTTTTGGAAGATACGAAAACATATATACACGCGTGAACATGCCATCAATGTAAGTATGTAACCAACACAATTGAAAAGGAAAAATTCCAAACAATACATTTCACTCCACTACATGAAAATGGTAACAAAACCAAGAAATATCAAATTACCAATTTGCAAAACTTAAGAACAATCAATCACAAAGTAACCTTTCATTGGGACAAAATCGCATAGGGAAAGAAATAAGTAGAAATGAGGAATCAACAGCAAAAATTGGTCAAAACCTCCCAAATTAAATCCCTGATTCCCTTCCATGAAAATTGAAAAATAGAATTCTAACCAAAATCATAAATCAATATGCATATATTTTAATCAAACGATGCAAACCTCTGCTCTGTTGGATCGTTACCTCCAACAGGGCAACTAGGCAAGACAGACGTCAAAAGCTGGCTGGAGCTAGGAGGTGGCGATTGCCGACTGACCGGAGGACGGGGGAGTGGGGACTCTTTGCGACGTCGAAAAGAGATGGAGTGTCGGTTGGAGTAGGTTTGAAGTAGAGAATGAAGAATGATTTTCCATTTTTCCATTTAGTAATAAAAAAAAAAATTAATTGGGCAAAAAGTGAGCCCCTCCGATTTTGGGCCTGATTGAAAAAAAAAAAAAATTGGGCGAAAATGAGGCCCTCTCAAGTTTTGGACCTCATCCGCCTCGCTACAGGGTCGGGCCTACCGCTAACCAATGATGTGTCTCATATACTCTATTCGATTTTGGCAAAAACTACATTTACTCATGAGAAAAATTCACAACTCATCAATCCCAAAATAAAAAATCAGGCCCCAAGGTTTAGAATTGCAAAAATCAGGTTTTTCAATAATTAATTAATTATATTTCACAATTATTATATTAAATTAAATATTTAACTGTAGTATAATATAATTAACCACCCACCCCACCCTCCCTAATGCTCCGGCTACTACTCTGGTGACTGACGACTGTTCTCCGGTCACAGATCAAATATTTTGTAGGTCACGGATTATTTCGAGGTCACAGATCTAAAATTTTTAGGTCACAAATTTTTTATCGGTCACAAATCTAAAATTTTATAGGTCACAAATCAAAAAAATTATATGTTACATGTCACGTATTTTCAAAATTTTTGGTCACAGATTCTTTTTTGAGTTACAAATTATCAATTTTAAAGTTACAGTTCAATAGTTAGGTCACATAAACCAAAAAGTAACACCACCGCCGTTGACCCCGCTACAACAATAACAAAAAACAACCACCACCACACGACCGCCACCACAGATCCACCACTTCCATAACCCCAGATTTGTGGCATTTTCCAAAACCAGACTCCATCTTCGCGACGGCTGCCACCAGATCCACCGCCCACCCTATCGCCGCTGACAACACAAATCTCTGCACCACAACCACCACCCAACAAAAAAACCCCAACCTGCCACCAAATCGCAACAATGGAGGGAATGCAAAATACAACAAAAGAGAGAGAGAGAGAGAGAGAGAGAGAGAGAGAGAGAGAGAGAGAGAGAGACGACTGCTACACCATCACATCCCATCAAAAATCCCAAAAATCCACCACTGAGCTAAACACCCACCTAACATTTCGAACGCGACGCTGCTGCTAGCGTTCCAGCAACGTCACAGCAGCCAACAATCGGAGGCGACGCTGCTACCAGCGTTGCAACAGCCAACAATCGGATGCGATGCTGCTGCTAGCGTTGCAGCAGCGTTGCCGACGCTGCTGCGTCACGGCGTCGCAGCACAGTAGTGTCGCGACGAGAAGCCCGCAATAGCGTTGATGCTGCTGTGAATTAGATGGAGACGGGAAGGGGGGGAAGGAGAATGGTAGAGTAGGGTGAAATGGCAGAGAAGAGATGGAAGAGAGAGAAAGAGACGGAAGGGAGGAGTAGGGTTTGGCAAGTAGATTGAAATTTGGGGGGTAGGTGGTAGGTATATAGATTAATTTAATTTAAAATATCATTAATAATATTAATTGTGAAATTAAAACCTGATTTTTGATTAAATAAAGTAAAAACCTGATTTTCAGAAAGATGAAACTAAACAATTGGTTTTATGTAATTATCCCTTTACTCATTTGGCATATATAACTGATGTTGCCTTAGAAGTTTCAAGGCTTTGGGCCTGATTGAGTCCCATTTTTTTTGGGTAAAATGCATTTTGGAATAGTATATTAATGGGGAATGTATGGTTGAAAATGAATAAAAAATTTTGGGTTGTGTGTAATATTATTTTATTGAAAAATGTGTAATTGAAAAGAAGTGGAAAAAAATGTATTTTAAAAAAAATGGGAATCAAACAAGGTCTTTATACAAATGTAGACAGTGGGTAGACGGGTGAGAGCTATGAATAAGTATGTCATGAGAAAATACCAATGCATACATCC